TTTCACAGAGTTGTGAATCATCACTGGCTAAAGAATTTGGGGGATTGTAGATACAGCCAATAATTGCCTTTCTTTGTGGCGAGAGAATAACAGATGCAAAGCAGAAGTTTCCCGCGAATGAGGAAACATCCAAGTAATAGGGGGAGTGCTCTAGGTAGGATTTAAGATAAAGAAGACAACCACCCCCACGCCTAGTCGTGCGGTCTTGGCGGTAAAAATCGAAGTCATCTATGAGAAGGGCAGAGTCAGGAATTAGAGAATGTGTCCAAGATTCTGTTACACATATAATATCAGGCGTCATTTCCAGAGCAGTGGCTCTGATTTGGGCCATCTTGTTTATAACAGACCTGGCATTCAATAATATAATATCTAATGTGTTTCGAACGGCAATGCTATTTTCGACGGTATTTAAAAAAATTTGGAGGCGGATATGTAAGCTGCGAATTAATGACACTTGGAGAATAAGTACCAGTTAATTTAGAGTTATTGACGTATGGGGAGTCAGCAAGAGAAGGCTGAGTATGAGACCTAAAGGAGGTGGGGATATAGTTTTCAAACATTGGAATGCTAGGGGAGTTAGAACATGGATAGACTTGTTGGTAGTTAAATAATGGAGGAAGGGGAGGAGGAGGGAGGCTAGAAGGAAAGTAGGGGCTAATGGGTGAGGGTAGGCCACTAAAAGAATGAAATAGTGGGAAACCAGGTCTAGATTAAAAGTCAAAGGAGATAGGTTGACGTACCTGAGAGCAATTGGCCTTAAGTGGTGGGAAGCCTGAACTAGGTTGGGGCATAAATGATTTAGGGCAATTCATGTATGAATTAGTTGCTGGATATATAGTAGGGCTTTGATAAGTAACCGGTACGCAGGACAGAGAATTATTCGAGGATATAATTGGAGCTGCGGGATTTGTAGACGTGCTGGGCTGAACAGACTTGTTAGATCTAAGAGAAGGCGTCGTACCTCCAAATGGAACTGTACTACCTTTCTTTTGGGTTGGAGTCTGATTCAATTTTCGAGTCTCACCGTTCTGATGCCAAGCCACTGGTGACTGAGCTGTAGACCTTACAGCACCCAGTTTGACAATAGAAGTTATCGGTCTAGCTGATGTAGACGGATTTTCATGTGTCTCAGCGGGACTATCCGGAGGATACGAAACGACAAATGGGGCTGCTGCTGCTGCTGCTGCTGCAAGTTTAGGGG